AAATAAGTATTTATATTTGTGTACAAGCTGTTTAGATTGTCAAAAATCCTGTGTTTTTAGGGTTATWAATGAAGTTTGTGTACTCAGACCAGTAATATTTGGGGTCACATGTACTGTATATTTTGTGGGTCAGAAGATAAAAGTTTGGGAACCACTGGTCTAGATGTTGCTCAGTGTTGTGGTTGTTAAACCCAGAACAATCACACACATTGTTGTTTTTTATTAAGTCAGTTGTGTAGAGGAAGGCTCCCTCTACACCTGACATTACAGATGTTTGACAGATGTTTCAGCTGTTTTTGCTCTGATGGACCATCTTTTATTGCCTCATGCTAACCCCCCCCGCAACACTTGTCAATCATTTGGGGGTGGCACCTGCGGGGGCCAATCAGGTGCCGGGGGTGGCCACCCTCCTGGCTCCGCCCCTGGATGTGTCCTGAAGTTAACCATGTTCAGGACTAAATAAGATCAGTGGTGAACCACGCCTGGTGCTCAGTGGGAGGAGTCAATTCACTCTGTGATCAGTGCTTGTGTTGTGGTTACACAAACATCTGCATCACATCACACAGCTGTGTCAGAATAAACAACACACACAACAATAAATAAATAAATAAATAAATAAATATAATTTCTGACTGAACACTTCAAGGAGCCTAAAGTGTAGAAGGAAGGAAGGGCCGACACACTGACCTTTGGACGTTTCACTTTCTCTCACCAGGAAGGTGCCCCTCTTGTTTTCTAAATGCAGCAGCATCCTTTCAGAGTCCCGCCGTGTGATTTTACCAAAGTACCACCTGGTGAGGTCAGAGGGGAACAAAAGGACACGAAGGAACCGACTGATGAGGAGGAAAACATCAGCTGAAAGAAGCCAAGTGGCTCCAAGCTTGACTTTTCAAAGTTTCCACAGTGGGCGTGGCCTCAGTACCAGTCAGTTTATTATGGTTTAACTGGCTGCAATCATCTCTTCTCTTCTGTTTGTTCAATGTTCAGCTGACAAAGACCACCTCCTGCTCTGAAAACCTTTACAATCAGTGCTAAAGGCTGGTGTGCAGCTGCTCACCTGGGCTCCACAGTCAGACTGACATCACTGATGAAGCAGGAGGCAAAATGAGAAATAAGGTTGTAACAGCCAGCTTGTAAACATTATAAACAATCAGGTCAACATGCTAATTCATTACATGCTTCACAGCTACGTGACTGTGTTGGATCATTTCTTTATAGACCATGTGTTAATAAAATAATCTGAATAATCTGCATGTTTCCATAAAAATGCTGCTGTAAAGAGTTTTTATTTGGTTTGCTCAGAATTAAAAAACTTTAGAGAAATGATTTGATTGGCTCAATCCCAAGAAATCAAATTCAACCTAAAAACAGAAAAAGTCCATTTTCATTATTAAGCTCACATTTTTCTAAATGCAAAATCCTAATTAAAAATTGTCCACTAATATTTTATTATTTAGCTCTGTTATTACATTTTGTTAATTTTTACTAAAAGTTAAATTTTATGTGTACAGTAAATGGTAAACTCTAAATCTAAATGTAATAGTTAAACCTTAAATGTTGTGGTTAAATGAAAAAACTTACATTTATTACAGAAAACAGCCTTTGTTGTTGGTTTGCAGCGTTTGTCATAATGTCATCATTTTGCAACTGAACAAAAGCAAATGCTAACAGTGCTAACGCTGCTAGCTCTGCTAATGCTGMTAATGCTACTGAAGATGCATTTACGGTTTTAATTCAAAATGTGTTTAAAGAAACATGGATGGTCCTGGTGGTCCGACAGTTTAAAACGCAGCTCAGACACAGTTAGGGTTGATTTAATGTCTTTTAGGGAAGCGTTAGCAGCTTAGCAACATTAGCAGCTTAGCAACATTAGCAGCGTTAGCAGTAGCTTTTGATACAGGATGATGATGTCATAAGAAAAGCTACGTACGAAAGGCAAAGGCTGCGTTCCATTTTGAAGTTCTGAAATGTAAGATTTATAATTTAGCTGCAACATTTAAGATTTTATTTTTACATTTAAATTTATACATTTAGATTTAGTTTTTAGCATTTGGACATAACATTTAGAAATATTAGCAAAAATGTAAAAACAGTGAGCTAAATGACAATTAAACTGTTAGTGAAAATCTTTAACTAGGATTTTACACTATGTGAGAAAATAATTATAAATGTTTTTATTAATTTGATTAGACACTTGGTGCCCATTAAAACACCAGTGAATTGTAAAAATGAGCTCAGTCTATAGTTTGTCAAAAGTAAAAACAACAGATCGTTTTACAATGTGGCACTGTTAGTGAGCTAAAAGTGACTTCAACCAGTGCTGCCAGTAAGATTCTGTTGGTTTAAATAACAACACCACAGGAGCAAACTGGTGCAACCCGTTCATGCTAAGCTAATGAGCTAACAAGACAGAAGATACATGTGAAGTTAAATCAAAGGACATTTTACACTTACTAATGCTAAAAGTTATGTTCCAACGTTATGTTTCAACAAAAACCACCAATAAAACTCATTTATAATTATGTTTGTGTAGAAAAGTGGACCAAAAAACGAGCTGAACACCAGTCTTACATGGATGTAGTTATGGATATAAGCTGTATTTAAGTACGTAGTGTCTGATTGTAACTGTAAAAACCTCAGTGGACCAGTCTACGCTAAGCTAACAGGCCGGTTCATGCTAAGCTAACAGGCCGGTTCATGCTAAGCTAACAGGCCGGTTCATGCTAAGCTAACAGGCCGGTTCATGCTAAGCTAACAGGCCGGTTCATGCTAAGCTAACAGGCCGGTTCATGCTAAGCTAACAGGCCGGTTCATGCTAAGCTAACAGGCCGGTTCATGCTAAGCTAACAGRCCGGTTCATGCTAAATGTACGGTAAATCTTTTCTTKGTACATTTTTTGTCACTTCCTATGGRSAGTCTACATGTTCATAAATATAATTATAAAATATATGACTGTTGTAACCATTTCATTTGTTTAGATGAGCTCAACAAGCTGCTGACTGCAGCTCAGACCTGGTCAGTCCTGGTCCTAGAGGCCCTGCAGGTTTTACCTGTTCCTCTGCTCCAACACACCTGGTCTGAACAGATGATTATCTGCAGTACGGAGCACCAACACTGACATTAGAAATAAAACCAGAATGATATAAACCACTAAATAAATACACTTAAAATGAACCAATTAAATTTAAAAGGAGAACTTTATCTCCTGTTTTATATTTTAATTGACTTTCATATTTATTTTTCAAGGTTAGTTCCATTAAATTAGTCTATATATTTGAACACATATTTTAAATTTTACTGTATTTTAAAATATATATTATTTGTTTTTCTTTTTATTTGTACATGTGACTTAAATGTTTATACTTAATTATTTTTATTTTTTTTTCCAACAAGTCTGTTTATTTCTGTGTGTTGCATGCTTGTGCCTCAGTTTAGCTAAAAGTTTAAAGTTTAGTTTAAAACAAAGTCAAGGAGGAAAACATTACCTGAAACTTTAAGCTAAACTGCAGCAGAACAAACAGTTGGACAAAATTATACAAATAATTCAATTTAATCATTCAAGAGACAAATGCACATACAAGTAAAAGGAAAAACTATGTAAAATATATATCAAAAACATTAAATTTTTATTATGTGTTAAAATATGTAATTTATCAGAAATAAGCTGGAAAAATAAATCTGATGGTCGATTAAAAGATAAAACATGAGGTAAAGTTCTCCTTTTTAATTTATTTGGTGCATTTTAAATGTATTTATTTATTTAAAGGTTCATTTATCTGTTTCTGATTTATTTCTAATGATGTCAGTGTCGGTGCTCCGTACTGCAGAACATGAAGAGGTAGTTCAGTGACTGAATCAGGTGTGTTGGAGCAGGTAACATGTGAAACATGTAGGACTGCGGCCCCCCAGGACCAGGACCACCCCTGTGTAGCTGCTTCAAACATTAGAARGGTTATTTTTATAATCCAAACTAAGCAAACGGTCCAGGTGTGTTTTTACTGTAAACCTTCTTCCTGTTTGTCACAGTGAGAAGTGAAGCAGTGACTTCTCCTCAAAGAGCCAGTCAGAACTAACAAAGGTTTAAAAACACGTTACGTTTGGATCATTCTTTCATGCACTTAGAGAGGAAAAGATACAACAAATAAAACATGAGAAGATAAATGAAGGTTTACTCTTCTGCCTGGATGGAGTCAGCTGGAGCCACAAAGTTACTGGGGATGTAACCAGTCTCTGCAGTGGTCAGGGAGCGCGCCAGCCACCAGTCTCCTTCTCTGTTCAGATAAAAGGAGAAAACACAGCTTCAGCCAGACTCCTGCTACGTCCAAAACACAAACATGAGCTTCAGCTGTTTGTCAAGCTCCTCAAAGTGTGCCTGACAGAGCTCAGTTCTTCTGAGTCACTATTAGTGAAACCACTGGAACACACTCAGGTCTGAGTGAAGTCTGCTCACAGAGAAACTTCATAAACACAAGTCCTCACAGAGAAACTTGATAAACACAAGTCCTCACAGAGAAACTTGATAAACACAAGTCCTCACAGAGAAACTTGATGAACACAAGTCCTCACAGAGAAACTTGATGAACACAAGTCCTCACAGACATGACGTCAAAGGAAGGTGATGTACGAGTCTCTCCACAGCACTACATTCACTACCTGAATTTACAGCAACGACTCAAATAAAAATGGCTTCACACTCGTTGCTGCATGACTTGTGATGTAATGGTGCTGTGAGGCTGTGCTCTTYCTCATTACTGCAACAAACTGCTTCATGACTTATGGGATGAAGTGGTGTTATAACATGTAAGGTAAACACTGGGGTTAGAAACATGAGCAATAAAAGGGTATATATATATATATACTGTATACACACACACATATATATTCAAAGAGAAGTGAAGAAAAGCTGCACAAACCTGCAGTTCACCTTCCTCCTACGTATATAAAACATCATGTTTGATGCAGGAGTGAAGACAGAAACATGAGAGGGACGGGGTCAAACACAGCAGGGTTAAAGAGAACGCAGAGAGCAAGAGTTCAGAGACGTTTCAGAGTAAACAAGAAAAAAACAAACCATAGTGTTTATTATGTTTTAAAATCTTACACAATAAATGAGAGCTGTGCAATAATTCAGCCTGAGAGAAAGACCTACAGGAAGCACAACACTGTGAGAACCACAGCCTGTAGGAGTCACTGTGCATCAGTGTTTGTAATAATGTAATAAAATCAGGCTTCAAAGTGTAATAAACTCACACTAAAACCACATTATGTAATAATGTAATAAAATCAGGCTTCAAATGTAATAAACTTAAACTAAAACCACATTATGTAATAAATGATGCAAAATGTAATAAAAGTCTGCAACACATTTTGTAATATTCACAGCCACATTACGTAATAACGTTATTACATTTTGCAGTAATTGTTATAAAGTGTGTTGTTGTAATAATCTGGTGCATTATGTAATAAACAATCAAAAATCAGTATTTCTGTTCATCCTAATCAACATACTTGTAATAACTGTCATGTTGTAATTACTACATGATTAAATCTTTATAACTTTGATGCTCTATACATCCATATATCTGCAAAATGACATAAAATTATGGACAATCCTTACAAACATGGTTGTATCTTACATTTCTGACAGGACGTCTAAACAAAGAACAGAAATACTGATTTTTAATTGTTTATTACATAAAGCACCAGATTATTACAACAACACACTTTATAACAATTACTGCAAAATGTAATAACTTTATTACTTAATACAGCTGTGAATATTACAAAATGTGTTGAAGACTTTTATTACATTTTGTGTCAATTATGACATAACGTGGTTTTAACATGAGTTTATTACATTTTGTGTCAATTATTACATAACATGGTTTTAACGTGAGTTTATAACATTTTGAAGCCTGATTTTATTACATTATTACATA